TTTTTTTTTAAAGGTGGGACCGAGGCGATTACATAACTCTTTCGAACGTTGACACATCGGAGCCCTCCCTCTTGGGTGTCGACGTCACCAGCTCGGAGCCCCGCCCTCTTGGAACGTTTTGTAGCCAGTTTGATCGCTACGGGCTCTTTCTAGTATCCCTGCTATTTCCTGCTGGGACAGAAAGATTCCAGCGGTCTCGCCTTGGCTTTCCCCCTCCTCGCGCTCTCTCCGCTCTGCGTCGGCGGGAAGAATTTCCCTTTTAACTCGCTTTCCCCTTTTGGAAGGACCCCCCCCGATCGGCACTGCTTGGGCGGCGGGCGAGAAGAAGGATCGCGCCCCTCAATTCCGCCTGCACATCTCCCCGGGGCTGAGCTTTAGAGTTCTTGTTTCCACTGCCCCCTCCCCGGGCATGCTTTGCTGGGCAGGAGGCTAAGGGGGGGCTTTTTTCCTCAGCGCTGCTGACCCCCTCCGCCCGCCCCAGGCGAAGAGCTTCGCCGGCGCCGGAAAGCCGTGGGTACGCTGGCGGAGGGGGGAACGAAGGAGCGCGGCTAAGAGGATTTCTCTCTGCCTGGATTGCATTGCGGCGGTTGTTGCAAAGGTGGGGGAGAGAGGATCCTGCTTCCCCCTCACGCCCTGCCGGATCTTCCTTCGATCCTCCTGCGAGCAACCGGAGAGCCAGCGCTGGGCTGGAGGGAAGGGATACCTTGAGGTCTAGGATGCTGGCGGCCTCTTTTTAAAAAAGCTGGAGTGGACACCGGCCTTTCGAAGACGACTGCGAGGAAACAGCCGGTTCTCCCCTCGAGAGCCTCGATTTTCGCCTCCGCTTTTCCCCCCTTCCCTCCTCGCCCTTCTGTTTTTCTCCTTCGGGGTTGTGTGGCGCCGCAGCATCTTCCAAGCTGGAGCACCATGGAGCTGGAGAACATTGTAGCCAATACAGTTTTACTGAAAGCCAGAGAAGGTAAGAGAGTCGGGCAGCCGAGGCGAGGCAGCGGCATGAGTTGTTGGGGGGGGAGGGCGGGGAGAGAGCCGGTGGCGGTTTCCGAAGAACATCGCGCAATTTGAGGGCGGGGGGGGAGTTGAGCCAGCGCACCGACTTCTGGCCGGCAGAGTCTCCGAATGGAGCGGCATCCTGCAAACGTGTTCAGGGAAACGAATAATTCATGGAATTTTTGCATGTTTAAAAAAGAAAGCCTTGTGTGGCTGCCCTGGAATCTTTCACAACTCTTCTCAGTCATCTCCCCCTGAGTTTTATTTTCACAACTCTCCTGCAAGGTTGGCTGCTCTTAGAGGTAGAGACTGGTCCATCGTCACCTAGTAAGACTGATGACTTGCATAAACAACCATGATTCTCACTGTACATCTCATAAAAGAACAGCCAAAGGGATAGATCCAGAGATGTGGGCTGGTGGTGGGGTACCATAGTTTAAATCTAGAACTGGGAGCAGAGAGGAATCCTGGATACCTTATAAAGTTACTTTGAGAGTTAAATCTAAAAGGATGTATGCAGTGCATATTTTTTTTAAATCCCAAATGGATGTACGGTATGTTAAAAATCTTAAAGGTAGTTGTTATGTTCTATAGGTGTTCTATAAGTGAAATTTTAACTGACTAACAGGTTCTTAAACATACGCACATTGTCTTTAGATTTGCAGCTTGTCAGAAATGCCCTGTAAGATGCTACAAAAAAGTCGCTGTGTGGTGAGATGGGCAACAATAAAATGCAATAAAATATGTAAGAGTGTGATTTTAATGATAGCAGTGATGATGTTGTAGCCTTTTTATGAGCCATAAAATCAAAGACCAAGACTTCTAACTCCTAGGGTCCTTCCTTTGTTGTTGTTGTTGTTTTTTTAAAAAAAAAACTGTTTTAAGAACAGTTAAACATTAAGAATGTTGGATAAAATGTTGAATTTGCCTGTGGGTCTAAATCCCAGTTCATTTATTTATGCACAAAATGCTTAGCCTTTATTTTACCAATGGGAAAGTGAATTGCCTTTTTGGAATAGTGCCAAAGATCAGCAAATTAAAGGCTACAAAATTAATCGTTCCAACAGGAGAGAATATACAGTATGTGGCTCAGGGTTGACCTGTGGAATCCTTGGTAGTCTCTGAGTTTAGTTATTTTCTTGCACACATTTCATTACATGACTTGCTAACATCATCAGTGCACGGATGTTGCCCAATCAGATAATGAAGCATTTGCAAGCAAAACCACCAAGCTTGGAGAGCACCACAAAATAGTTAGTGTTCTAAAATGTATTTTTTCACTCTAAATATCAATTTTATGCTTTTATCTCGGTTAAGTAGGTTAGAATAAAGAAGCCTACAGTATCTTGTTCGGGGCTGAATTCAGTTCCTGTGTATGGCCAAGATTGAGATGTCACATGTGTTACATTTCCATGGTGTGTTGAGATATCTCTGCTTTACGCAGATCGGTAGAGTCATGTTCAACTCTTTCTGAAAGAGTCCGAAAATGCCAAATAAACAGCGGCACGCTTCAGTTCATTATAGACAAAAATACTCTGTGTGTATCTTCAACGGTGGTTGTTAGGGGGTGGGAATCTCGGGTGCCATTACGTGTCAAGACTGCATTGCCGCTTATGTGAATTAGTAAACCACAGGGTGGCTTTTAGAAGGGAAAGCCCAGGCCTGCATCTTCAAGGCTCCTGCAGTTGTTTTTCGGCAAGGTCATGAAACTTTAGGGCCATGATGGCGAACCTATGGCACTCGTGCCAGATGTGGCATGCAGGGGCCTCTCTGCTGCCACGCAATGAATCACCCCAGGTCAGATCTCAGTGGCATTTCTTTCGTGAGCTTCTGTTTCCCTGCAAACGACAAAAACAAGAATCTTCACAAAAGAAAAAGATCTTACCTCTTGCCGCGCTACCAGAGTTGGGATGCCCCGCCTCCCGCTGCCCAGCTGGTCTTCGGGTCTCTGCTATGCACCCACACACCCATGTCTGTGCACCTTTCAGTTTGGGCATGCACGTGCCCGCAGTTTGGGTGCTCGGTGCCTAAAATGTTCACCATCACTGCTTTAGGGCAAGGAGAGCAGGCCTTTATTGATGGGGGCAGGAAAAAAATGGAGAGACTACAGAAAAATACGTGGCATAGGGCAGGGGTGTCCAGTTTTGGCAAC